TGGAACGAGGCCCACAATTCAGTTGAAGTCAAAGCATGGTGAGAACTTAGTGAAATCAGCGAAGACCGGGCCTGGCCAGTTCTCATCACCTCGTTACCACGGGGGCTCCTGAGCTTCCGGTCTAGCTCATAGAGCTCCCACTGCTGACCGGGCCTCGGCCCCGCCTGAGCTCCAGTCTGCCTTCCAGCCAGGCAAAGGCAGGTTCCTGGCTGTTGGGATCATGTGACCCCTCCCCTCACTGAAGCTGTACCTTCAGACACCCTCAAATACCAGAAGGATGGAGACTTGGCTGAGTCAGGGACAGTTTGTCACTTCTGCATGACATGGAGCCATCAGGCCTGATTCCATCCAACTGCTTGTCCTCACACAGAGCTGGACCAGGGAAAACAAATGATTAGCTGTTTTTAAAAATAAACAGACCTTGATGGATTTTTTTTAACTTGCAACATTTCTAGAACTATGTTAGGAATTTAAGAGGAGAAATTGGTCCTTTGGATTCTTTCGCTGTATTGTTTGTGAGAAAATGAGTCATCCTTTTCCCTTTCTCTGACCCGCATGCAGTCCACTGCGGGGTAAACGTGTCCAGACACGACTTAGACCCAGGACTTACTTCATCACTTGTGGGACACAGTGCAAAATGTAAACATGGGGGCCTTTGTTTGAAAGCAGAAAAAAATAAAATAAAATAAAGATTTTTTTCTTTTCTTCTCAGGTCTCTTCTGAACTGTGATGGTGTCTTTTACTTTCAATGTCACACTTCTTTGGGCACAGCGATACCCACAGGACTAGTGTGGACCCTCACAGGCGCCTGGGGTCTCATGACTTAGGAAGTGGGGCACATGCCTCAACATTCCAACCCCTTTGCACCCGCCATGGGCAGAGGGTAGCAGCTCTTCCTGGTTGGGGGCAGCAAAGTGGCTGCAGAGAGCCCACCCTGGGGAGTCAGGGAGACTGCTGGAAGGGGACCTCCAAGCCCCCAGGTTTATGCTCCGTTGTTCTCAGACTTTACTTTCAAAACACAATCTGAACGATAAAATTAAGGATTTCAATATGGCGGTGGTAGAGTATTAAACCCCAGCACAGGCCCCATCTGAGCATGGGGCCATGTGTGACGGTACTGTCACACAGCCGTGAAGCTGGCCTAACCACACACAAAGCACCAGCTAATTTTTTTATATAATTAAGTAAAACATAAAATATCTTCCAAATCACAAGGATGACACAATACCCAGTTTCCCAAATAATTCATTCCTTTAGGAACAGAATTAACATCTTAAACACTTTTGCTTTTCTCAATTGCCAAAATTTTCCTTTTGTTTTTTTACAGTTAGTACCTACACAATGGAAACATGCAGTGCGCTTCTTTTTCTTTTAAATCAGCTTCCTTCTTTTGTTGTTCCTGCCATACATTTCTTGATTGCTTTGTAAAACAGCCAGAAAGAATTAAGGAGTTGTAATTTGTGCTGTGGCCAAAAAATATACATTCCACAAAATCGGGATGTCCCTTACTCAAAATGTAATGAAATTGTTTGCTGGTGAATTTGAAAGGGCCTAAGCCATGCAGATTATAAACAGCGAAGCGTGATGGTAAAGGATTGTCACCAGATCTGTCACTTCTCATCCAGTGTTTCTTGGCAGAGGGACCTTGAGCCTCCTCCACTGGAAGCTGCCCAGCTCCATGGACCAGAACTCCAGTGGTGACGTCGTGGGAATGTGCTTTTGTAACAAACACCCCAGGTGGCCGGAAGGCACCCACACTTTGAGAACCACCGCTCAGTCTATCATTGAGCTGACTGTCCTTAGACACTTGTAAACAACATGGCTTCTCCCAGGCCCACAGTGAGCTTCCTTTTGTTCTAGCTGCTGGGCTTATTCTTATACATCCCTTGGCTAAAATACCAGAAAGCCACAGACACCCCTTGTCTAAAGGCGTCCACACCCGCCACAGATGTGTGGAGTCATGCAGCAAAATTCTGAGGACGTGGTGCCCACATCCTGGCCCTAAACTCCTCTCTCCGGCCACTCTGGCCTAAAGACACACAATTAGGAATTCATCACACTCCTTCTTCCTGGCTTCTCCACTCTCCTGCGCCAGGCATTGACAATACAAACACCCTTTTTGTTCTCCGGGTTTACGCTCTCTCAGCACAATCTCGACTGGCAAGGCAGGAGCAAAACCTCAAAATGCAAATCACTTCATGCTCAGGAATCACATTGCTGTCTTTTCTTAGGAGGTGACTTTTTTTAACTTTAACAAAATCTTCCACATATAAAATGTTTTTATTATATTATTGAGAAAGAAATCTGCTAACATGGTAAATCTTTTCTTAAACATAATTCCTCCATTATGGTTACAAACATCTTTCTTCCGGGGGAGGCGGGCGGTAATTAATTTGCATTAGACATTGTGGACATTCCCTTCCATTTCTGTGTCTAAGATACTGTCTTCCTGTCACTTCTGTTTATCAAGCCATGCACATTTAATGACTCAGCTCCAGGAGACTCAAGAAAAGGAGCTGGTCCTTCTTTCATCAGCACAGTTTATTGAAGAATCCCATCTGGCAAAACTTTGCCAGCCTTCCCTGAAATTTTAATTTTGCCACAGGTGATGTGGTGTTTCATTATTTAAACTATGAATACATTTTAAAATACTGTACAGGAGCACAAGGAGTCCTAAGCACAAAAGAGATTTTTTTAGGGCAAAATAGGAAGAAAATAAAAAGATTGTACAGATGACTGCTCAGAAGCTTTCATAAATTCTGCAAGATGGTGATAACGGTTGATAACCTGGCAAGGGTTTCAGAGAAACGTACAGGAAGCGAAAGCCACTGCGCGTAACGGGTCCAGCATTTCATTGTGCAACGTTCCACAAGCCTTCACGGTCCTCAGAGCCATTTTGTAACCTATATACCTAATGGAGATGCCCTAGCCACCTCTATCCCACCCTCCAGCAAAAGACTTCTTTGCGGATCTAACGAACAAAGCTTGTATGAAACAACCACCACAAAAAGTGGGGGGAGGGGCAAGAAAAACCTGGCTCTTCCCCAGAGTCTCAGGGTAGCTGGTCTTTCTTTTTCTCTTTCCTATGCCCCTGGTTTCTTGTTCTCCATCATTATTTTGAGTCAGCAAAGAGGAAACATCAAGAGACTCTGGAGGAACACTCGTGATAGGGTGAATAAGCAAAAGGCAATATTTTGCCTGTTCTTTTTATTAAGAAATCTTTGTTTGATTTGAGGATGCACTGTTCACAGGAAAAGACTCCTTGGAGATTCTCAGGATAAGGAAGAGACACATAGCAAACCAATTCAAGGTCGGGCAAGTCTGCTTGTGTTTGGCTTGGTTTTGCATGCAGCCCCCAGGCGCTCCAGTAAACCCTTGAGCTCATGTGAGCTGGATGTCTCTTTGCCTAGAGTCACTTTTCATAAAGATCTGAAGGTGCAGGGGAGCATCAGCCAAGGACAGCTGCCAAAAATAGCTGACTTCCAGGGCTGCAGAGAAATTGCAAGACCAGCGTAAAAGGACCCGAGTCACACCAATTAACCCACCGATGCCAAACAGTGGGCTACTCTTGGTTACAAAACACACGCATGCCTGTTAGGAAAGATACAAATAGAAACTTCTGTGGTACACTAGGCTAATATCATGTCTGCATTTGCAGCCCTGCTGCCTCTTGTAAGGTGGGCCAAAGTCAACAGTTCTTGGGGTCTGAGGAATTGTGCTTACCGTACGGTCCTCAGCTCTGCAGGCTCCGTAAAACCAGGTGAACTGATCTAAAAGTGACACTGTCACTAAAAGTGACAACAAAATCAAGCTAAATAATTAATTATCCTTCTCCTGACCTCCTCCAAAAGCAACGAGATATATGCTCAAGGAATGAGAAAACCCTAGCAAAAAATTCAAGGTGTCTGTGACAAAACTCTGTTCAGAATAAAGTTAAGTGCCTTCAAATTAATGGTATTGTTCATCTAGATTTTCAAATTATATTTAACTGATAAACCACTTTTGTGACAAAACCCTGTGCTAGGTATTGAGGGAGGGGAGGCGGGCAAGACACAATTGAGAATAGGGATCTGCAATCAGTGAGCGGCAGCGCCAGCAGCAGAGCGTTCCCAACACAAAGGAGTAAATGGGGGACAAAAGTTAACCGCCCCCCCTCAAGTTTACAAATACTGGTGTCCAAGCAGGCAAGAAGACCTAGGTGCTCAAAATCCCTTTGCATCTGGGGTTGGTCCAGGTTTAAGGGTCCCTCAGAGCCTGGGGGCTCAAGCCCAGGACAAAGGGACCCTTTACAATTTCATCCCGTCCCAAGCACACTCATCCTGTTGCTCACACAGAGCTCTGCCCCAGAGATCAAGAGATGCCAGCTCTGGAGGAAGTCACAATTCAGTGTGGAAGAGAGAGACAGGTGAAGATGGGCAGCTGAAGAGTGACCTTTCTGGGGTGAGGAGTGAGGAGTATGGTACCCAGGTAAGAGAGTGATGGACAGTGTGGCTTCCTGGAGGGGGCTTCATAGTGGAGACCTCCACCCACTCATACCGTGCCGTACCCCTTACTGCTGTGACAAGGCGGGGCCCGCAGAAAGCACGCAGGAAGTTCTTACTGAGCCATTGAATGAATTAACGCTGGCTCTTACTCATCGAGGACTTAAAATGTGCCACATTCCGTGTGAAGATCCACATCCAAGTATATGTAGGTATAAACATCATCAATCCTCTCAATAATTCAGTGTAATAAATACAATTAATATTCTTCCCACTTTACAGTGACTTCCAAAGATTCCCCAGTTAGTGGTAAAGATGGGTCTGGAACCCAGGTCTCTGTCACCCAAAGCCGTGATATTAACCCCGCAGAGCCAGCCAGGTGAGGAGAGGTGGGGGAAGGTGGGAAGCCACCATTTATTAGAAATCCATCGCGTGCCACATACATTATGGGCACAACCTCTAATCCAGCAGCTATTATCCCCACTTTACAGATGAAGAGAATGAGGCTCTGAGACTCACCCATGGCCACACAGGAATATGTGTTAGAAGCTGGCTTCAAACCCACATCAGATGGGCTTTAAGAGTCAGGAATCCTTGCCACTGGGCCAGCAGCTCTCAAACTTTCCTGTGGCCGGCTTGTTAGGACAGTTTCCTGGGCCACCTTCCCAGCAATGCTGATTTTCCATGCTTGAGTGGGACCAAAATTGGCATTTGTAACAAGCTCACAGGCAATGCTGGTGCTGCTGGTCTGAGGTCACACCCACACACCAACAGGACAGTAGAATCCTGTTTTGTGCAGATTCCTGGGACTCACTCCCAAGGCTTCTGATGCAGTGGCTTTTAGGAGGTTCGGAAGCTGTCTATTTAATCACTTCCCTGGGAGATTGTAGCATAGCCAGTCTCTGCACCCGCCCCTAGTTAGCAGACTGTTCTGGGTGGAGAACAAGCATGTGTGTTCTGGGAAGTGCAAGTCATTTGGGGTCAGGAATGTCCAGGAAAGTAATGAAGGGTGGGCCCAGAGAGGCAAGCAGAGACAGAGCATGATAGTTCTGTGAGCTCAGCTAAGGATTTAAGGTTTAGTCCCACAGGGGATGAAAGCCACTAAAAGATGGAGTAATAGGTTCTACATAAACCAGACAATCATTTATCTGATATCAGTATAAACGTGCTCCTGGGCTAGAAACTGCACAAAGACAACTTGATCAATAACTCTTTCTTTTTAGAAGCCACACATGTACGCACACACTACATTGGAAAATAGAAACAAAAAATAAACAATAAATCAATGCGTGAAAATATAACATCATGTTTACACCGTTGACAATCTCACCTTTTGGTAAATCTATCCTTCCAGCTGCCCATGGGAAACATTTGGGGTCCTCCTTGATGCCCCTCTTTCTGACACATCTGCATCCAATCTTTATGGCTTGCCCTTCCAATTGCGTCCAGAATCCGACCACTTCTCATCACCACCAAGGTACAGCCTATGGGAGCCGCCATTTTCTCTGTCTGGACGACATTGACAAGAGCCTCCTAACTCAACTTCCTGACTCTGTCCTGGCCCCTACAGTCTATTCTCAGCACAGCACCTGGGGGATCCCTTTAAGAAGAAGTCAGATGGTGCCTTTGCTCAAAACCCTCCAGAGCACCCCCCTTCCTTTCAGAGTAAAGCCAAAGTTCCTATAATTGCCTGCGAGGTCCTGCATGACTGTCCAGCACCCTGCCCCCCACTTCTTAGACCTTGTGGAAGGCAGGAGAATGGCTCCCCTAAGAGGTCCAGTGGAACCTGTGAATATGTTACATGTCACCTAGTAAAGGGGAATTAAGGTTGGAGATGCAGATAAATTTGCTAACCAGCTGACTTTAAGATTATCCTGGATTACCCCGAGGGGTCCAGTGTAATTACAAGGACCCTTAAAAGTAAAAAAGGGAGGCAGAAGAGGAGGTCAGAATTATGCAATGTGAGAAGGACTCAACCCACTATTGCAGGCTTTAAAGATGGAGGAAGGAGTCAAGAGCCTGGGAATGTGGGCGCCTCTAGAAGCTGGAAAAGGCAAAGAAACGAATTCTCCCCCAGAGCCTCCGGGAGGAACGCAGCCTTGCCGACATCTTGATTTTAGCCCTGTAAGGCCCATTTTGGACTTCTGACCTCTAGAACTATGAGATAGTAAACTCGTGTTATTTTAAGCCACCAAGTCTGTGGTTATTTGTTACAGCAGCGATAGGAAACCCAGACAGACCTCATCTCCTGCTGCCTTCGGCCATCTGTTACTCACTCACCCTGTCCTCCTTGCAGTTCCTCAGGTAGGGTGGCCATGTAATGTGATGTGCAAAGCAAGGTTCTTTGTGGACTGAAAGGCAGCACTAGCAGTAATTATGACGAGACAACAGGCATAAAAAGAGACTGCCCGGGACAAAAGGAGGCGCGTGGTCACATCAGCCTCGGGGTCTCTTCGCAACAGGGTCATCTCTCTGCCTGCACAGGTAACTCCCTCACCTCCTCTGAGTCTTTGTTCAAATGTTATCTTCCCGATGAGGCCAACCCTGACCACGATATTTAAAACTCCAGCCTGTCCTTACATCCCTATCCTCCAGAACCTTCTTTATCCTGGTCTGCTTTTTCTTTTCCTCTGTAACATTTATCCCCTTCTAACATACTTTTTGATTTCTTGCAGCTCTTGATTTTGTCCATCTCCTTTGGCTACGACGCAAACTCTGCTGGGATAAAAATCATCATTTTGTTCTCTGATATACCACAAGCTTCCAGAACAGTATCTGGCACATAGTAAATACTTGAGCAAATATTTGATGAATAAGCAAGGGATATGAGCATCCTGAAGCTTGGGAGGAAGAAGGAGCACGTGACAGGCAAGAGCACAGATCTGAAGACCTGAGTTCTAGGCCCCACTTCCCCTATGAATAGTTTACTGCTAAATATTTTGAGCAAGCCTTGTAGCTGCTCTGAGTATGGCTTTTCATCTGCAAAACGAGAACTCTGAGATTACTTGATGCTCTCAGATCTCTGACATAATTAGGTGAATGCTAAATACCCCCAAGTACAGCGACTCCAAGCCCAGACCTCACAGCTGGGGGTCAACCATGGGATCAATTGGACACATATAGGACCAACTGGCCAGAAATAGCCCCCAAGGTAAGATTTTTAGGAGGAGTGTGAATCTGCTGGAATGTGAAGTAGGGGCAGCTGGAATTCAGCCAGCTGAAATGAGTCACCTTCAGCAAGGTGCAGCTTAGGAACTCAGCACAATCGTGTCTGGGTGGGTAAAAAGTAGTTGGGGGAGAGCTTGGCGTCCCTGCTTAACTCAATGTGTCCACGGCAACTTCTAGAAACAAAATGGCCTCGAATCTGAGCCACTTCTCTGATGGGTCTCCCAAGGCTGCCTTGAAGTGAGCAAATCTATCTCTCTTCTTAAACAATAGATTTGCTGGATCAATTATGGTGAGTAAATATTACATCACTGAGAGACACACGTCACTGAGTAACGACAGGCACCTGGCCTGGGTGGTGATATCTGCTCTGCATATTTATTTAAATAGATTTGCCATTTATATCTGGTCAGCAGGACAGACTCAGCTCAAATCTTCCCTTGTTCTTAGGAGCTGTATAACCTGGGCCCGGAAGCTGGAAATAATGCCAATCGCATACCACAGCCCCTCCTAATACACAATTATTGTTATTGTTAACGACTTAGCAAGATGCTCCTCCAGACCGCATTAGCGGCTCTCTTTGCTCACCAGCCCCTCTGAGTGAGCAGGTTTCAAGAGAAAATAGGGGGTCTTTAGGAGAGAAGTAATACAAAGGAGTACAGAGTTGAATGTTTTGCTCAAGAAGTTAGCATTAGGAAAAAGCAAGATGCCATCAATAAGATATAATGCTACCATTTGAGGGACAGTAAAGGAACATATGTAAAACTCAGGGTAAGCCAGGAGTCCTCAACTGCAGCACTGGTGACATTTCGGAGGCCAGGAATTCTTTGCTGGGAGTGGGGGGAGCTGTCTTGTGCATTATAGGAGGTTTCGCAGTATCCCTGGCTAGATGCCCCACTAGGTGCCAGTACCATCATCCTCCCCCCAGTTGTGACAACCAAAAATGCTTTCAGACATTGTCAAATGCCGCCTGGGGGGGCGTGCTACCCTCAACTGAGAAGCACTAGGGTAAGTTAATATAGCAAACTAGCCCAGTTAGGGTCATGAGACAGTCCTCTTAGGGTCCCTGGAGGAGGGGAGGGGAGGTTGTGCTCCACACAGTCATTTAGGGACCCAGATCTCTTCAGTCTTGGGCTCTGTCATCCACTGGAGTCTGCATTCTGCAATCTAACAGGGAAGAAGAGAGCGCATGGGGCGGGCTGATGGCGGCTCCAGGAGCAGGGCCTGGGAGTGGCATAGAGCAACCCCCCTCCCCCCATCTGCTGGTCAAGACCGTCAGGAGGCCTCATACAACGGCAAGGGAGGCCAGGAATGTGACCCAGCTTCATGCCCAAAAGAAAACAGAAGCAGTAATGGGACTTGAAGAGCACATTGTATTCTCTGTCACACAGAAATGCTTGTTAATGTCCCCTACCTCTGAAAAAATCTCTGGAAGGGCACACACAGACCCAAGGAAAGGCTGGTTGCTTCGGGGGAGGGGAACTTGCTGCCTGAGAGAAGTGAGAGGGCAGGAGACTTGTTTTCCTTATGTGGACATTTTGAATTTTATACAATGAGCGTGCGTGCCTATTGAAAAAGAATGAAGTTTGGGGCCGGCCTGGTGGCATAGTGCTTAAGTTCACATGCTCCACTTCCATGGCCTGGGGTTTGTGGTTTTGGATCCCGGGTGCCAACCTACACACTGCTCATCAAGCCATGCTGTGGCATCGTCCCACATACAAAATAGAGGAATATTGGCACAGATGTTAGCTCAGGGTCAATCTTCCTCGCCAAAGAAAAAAAGGAATGAAGTTTGTTTTAAGCCACCACTGGAAAATATGGAAAACTCAATGTACACAACCCACAAACATGGACATAAATGCTTTCACAGAGAATGTAAAGTTGCTTTTGTTATTGCAGCCCAGACTGTTGTCTTCTGAAGGGATTGAAGGCAGAGGCCCTCAGGTCCAGTCCACGGGCACAGACTTTCTCTAACATCAATTATAGCTGCCTCTCTCACTCAATCTCTTGTCACTTCCATAGGGAACAGTTCTTGATCACCTTCAGAGTAATTGGGACCCAAATGTGTCTCCATGAAAACGTATTGTTAAAACAGCTCAGGACGATTTTAGTATAATTCATGATGAAAACAGTTTCATAAGAGTTTCCTCTTTCCCTATTTGAAGCCTTCTTGCTACCACATCCATTCTCATTAGGATTGCTAAACCTATTTTACTCAATGTTCATAAGCAGATAAACAGTATGGAGAGGTTCTCATTGAAGGTTCAATTCTTATCGAAGGAAAATCTGCCAGTAGAACGTCCCCACAAGCTCTCTCTCTCTCTCTCTCTCTCTCTCTCTCTCTCCAGGCTTGCAGAATGCAAATCCTAGGAGATAGCAGAGTTGTCCGGGGTGGGAGAGGTGCTGTTTTGTTTCCTTTTGCCATCCTTCCTGATACTCAACGTCCTTGCCGAAGGCTCCCTCCCCTCCTCCTCAGGGTTTCTGAAATTGCTAACTACAAAGGAGAAATGCATAGACTTTTATTGTCATAGAGCAAAGGTTAACAATTCTGATTCCCCCACCAAAAAGACTATTGAAATTGCCAAAGCCAAACTTTTTTAAAATTAAGGAATTTTTTTTAATCCCTGAAAATACTGCTGTTTTGGAGTAGTTAGAAAATAATTTTCTGGTCAC